TGCCCAAACTCATAACAGCTAGTTAGATATAGAGCTAGGATTAAAGCCCAGATCTCGAATTTTCCTCCTGTACCCTTTCCATGGCACCTCTTTGCCTCTAGCCTATACTGTTCCCTTTCTTTTCTGAAAATCAACCACTTCATTTTCCCTAATGGTCTTTTGGTGGAAGTTAATAGATGGGGGTTCAAACACTACACACCTGTGACTGTGTGACACCCTCCTGGAGCATCTTTTCTTCATCTGTCAAATGGAGATAATGCCATTACCTGTCAGACTTTCATATTATTATGTGTGCCCCCCCCACACACACACCAATAGCCTTAAATTCCTTAAGAGCAAAGACTGTGTCTCAAGCATATTTGCACCTCCTGGTAATGGTTCTGAAAATGTGTTTCCTGGGCCAGCAGCATCTGCATCCCCTGGCAGCTTAGGGCCTACCCCAGATGGACTAATTTCATAAAGTGGGGATGGAGCCCAGCAAGCTGTGTTTTGACCAGCACTCCAGGTGATTCTGGTGCATAGTAAAGACTGAGAACCACTGTCCTAGAGTGCTTATGTCTAGCTGGCTCAGTAAGTGATTACCACCTATTTATTCAATCGTCCTTGAGTAATTAAGTGTGTGGCACATCAATGACAAGCATTTTAGGCTTGTCTTTCTCTTTTTCATTCTGAGAGTCTAGCACTATATAGACATACTCATGAATCTCTTCATCCACCAAATGAAGCCTCCCTGATTTGTTCTAATGAGGGAGAAACCCATAGCAGATGATTGTATTAAATGGATTACCAGGTAAGCGTATAGCAGTGATGCGAGAGGCGCTCTATCACCGTACACTGTGTATGGGGAATACCAACTTCCTAGGATATTGTGTACTGTTGGAAATAGCCCCCAAACCAAAACAATTTTATTTTTCTTTTTTAAACAAACAAAATTACATTTTCCTCTCTCATTCTTCCCAGTCACATTGATGCTTCAAAAACTGTTGGCATGTTCAGCATGTAATGAATTGACAGGTCCCTAAGTTATGCTTCATGTACAGTTGGTTGAGGCTGTCTTTTGCCTCTTATGACCAGAGGTGGGACTTTGTAGTGCACACTCTGTTTTCACCGTTGTATAGGACTGTGGATGTGTCTGAACTAGGTACCAGAGGTGAGCTGCAGAAATAACCTGTGGTTTCTGGCTACAGGTGGTGGCATAATTGTTTTGTACTTTCCAGAAAAGTAGCAGCTCCCCAAAAGGTGAAGTTTAATTTTATTGAAGAGTAGTACATGCTGAGCACAGACCTAGGCTTGACTCTATAATTACTCTGACAACCGAAAGGTCACCAGGCTCCTAGATAGAAGAGAGCCCCACAAGCTCCAAGTCCCAATGGTTAACTTTGCAAGCTCCAAGAGAATGCATGTGCTAAGCAAATTCTCCTTGCTCCTTATTTTTACTGGCTGTCTTTGCAACCTGGCATTTAGTTGTTGTGCAGACTTGGAGGTGCTCATCTCTAGCCGAGATTTAAACAGAAATAAAATTTCTTTAGTGACCTTTGTCTTTAGCAAGACCTGAAAGATCACTCTTCTCCATTCCTACCTGGCCTAGTTCCTTTTATTTCTTTTCCACTGACTTAAAATATTTGGTGGTTGTCATCATCCTCATCACCAAGTTTTTCCTTTGGCACGGTTTCGTATGTTGACTTCCACTATGTGCAAAGCATTGTTCCTAATGCCTTCATTATTTCTAATTTTCCCAAATAACCCTAAAAGGTAGATATTGCTATTCCCAACTCCCAGTTTACAGATGAGGAAAGAATCCCAGAAAGGAGAATTATCTTGTCCAAACCACTTGGGAAGCACATGGAGGGAGAGCCTTTGAGAGCTGGACCTACGTGCCTTCTCCCCTCTTGCCAAACTGCTTCCTATCTGGCATTCCATTCCTCTCATTCTGAAGCATTGTAGGACTTCATGTCTGGGTCTAATCATTCCATTTCCTGGTTAGCTTCCTTCTTCATACCAATTTTTCAAAGGGCCTATATTGTAAGAAAAAAAGATTATGATTTTGATATAAAGAAATTTACTTTGGGGCATATTGGCAACTTTTTTTCATGTCACACCACAAAAGTTGGAAATTTCCTAGGGGGACCAGGAATTTTCAGTAAAGGGAAACCCAGCTGTCAGGTGGGTACCTGTTCTGTGTAGATAGTTCGTTTAATACAAAAACTTCAGGGAAAGTATTATTTATTCTCATTAACATTAAAAAAAATCTGGTTAGTGAGGTAAAGTAATTTGATCAAAATCACATAGCTGGTAACTCTTAAAGCTGAGATTCTAATCCAAGTATTTCTGATCCCAATCACCAAAAAATTTTTTCAGTTTTTGCTGTATGCTGTGCACTTTCATATTATCCTATTTAATCCTCATAGTAGCTCTCCAAAGAAGGTATTATTTTATTACTTTCACTTCACAGTTGAGGAAACTGAGACTAAGAAATACTACAATACTTAGGTTATAGATTCCTAAACATTCTCGGTTCATGGTGCTCCTAGTACTTCTGATTTTTTTTTTTTTACAGTACTCCTATGCCAACACATACTGAACAGTCCCATTTATTAAGTAATTAGGACCAAACAACTTAGTAAGTGTTGATGTCCTAACAATTTGATAGCCATTTGAAAAAAAAATAATGCACATAAATTGAAAGAAAAATATTTTTATTTTGTTCTTAAATTTCATACTTATTCATGGAGGAGTGTGCCTTTTTGGTACTTCACAGGTTTCTGAAACCTCGGAATCACATTGAACACTACTACCTTTATTCCTGTTCCACTTTGATTGTCACAGTTTTTTGGTTTTTTTAATCACAGCAACCAGAAATTTTAAATATCCTACAGTGCTGTCATCAGATGTATGCCAGGTACCTCGGCACACACTTTGAGAACTGCTGACGTAGGGCCACATAGGTAGTAGAGACACACTTACAAGTCAAACTTAGGTGTATCTGATCCCAGGTCCATGTCCTTAAAAAAAAAGAAAAGAAAAATTGATTATACACCTTAGTAAAATTACTTTTAACTCAATGTAAAAAATTTTAAATGCCAGGACAGTGGACAGACAGGGTTTATATCTAATTCAGTTTTCCTGTGGGGCTTAATTCTGTGTCTTGGCATATGGCATGCCCAATAAATACATGTTCAAAGAAGGAGAAGTCTTCCCCACACGTTAGAGACAGGAGTTCATAAAATCAAAGAACAAGAGGCATTGGAGCCACAGAAAGGCCATTCTTTTAATTGCCTCATGTCTTCTGACTTCTTCCATTTAAGTGTATCTTGTTTCAAACCAAAACCAGGCCTTTGAAAAGCCGTGTAGAAGTTGGTTGTAGCTTAAATCGTTTAAAATACAGTAGCAAAAGTTGAAACTTAGATAATTTGAGTAAGTAATTTCATCCTTGATTCTGATGGAGAATCACTCCTTGGCTTTTCACCTTTGTGTTTTTGATTTTTGTAAAACAGTTTTTGTTAATGTGAAACACATCACAGATTGCATTTAAGCTGTGGCTGTTCTACTGAATTTCTTGGAACAAGGCCTCAAGCTTGCCTAGGGAGCATACCTTGCAGTCAGTACACGTAAGATCTTGCATTTACAGATCTTTTAATCTAGGATGGGTCATACCTGGTCAGCCTCCTGAAACCCTGTGGGGTGCACTTAGACTTGACGTAGAAGACGTGCTCAGAAAACCAAAAAGATGCCAATGTTGTTTCATTAGGGGCCACTCTTCTTCTTAAGTACAAAATCAATGTTCAAACAGAACTGTGAATGGTGCTAACATGATGAAGGTGTTAGCTCCGAGATAAACACTTCCCCTGTCCTTTCTTGGTACAGAAATTATTTGTCATTTTAAAAACCTGGAAAGGTAGCATGGCTGCTGCAGATTAACAGTCATTGTCTATGTGCTTGCATTATAAGGAATATGGGTACTGTACATAAAAACATATCAGGAGACTTTCTCCATTCTGTGTACCTTTATCCAAGGGGTATTGTTAATGGTGGACTAATTGAGTCGCACCACTGAAGCAACAATGTGCACAGCCATGAAAGAATCTCTGCAGTGGATGTGTCCCCTCGGAAGTTCCCGAGCAGCAGAGCATACAGCAGGGAAAGGATTGTGGGTAGCAATTTGGGTGTTAAAATATTAACACATTTTTGCATATTTAATGTGGTTTCCTTTTTAAATGGTAGGCAGATTATGGCAAAGGAACAGATAGGTTTATGATTTCAGATTAATATTTAAGCATTAAAAAGATCCAGAAGGAACTACTTTGTTATAAATATATGCAATGAACCCAAACGAGAGATTGCAATCTTTTCAGTTTCTCTGTATACCAGATAATTTGTAGCCAGATTTTATGATTGTAACTTGTGAAGGAAGCTTCATGGTGGATTTTAATCTCAAAATTTCAAATCTAACAATCATTCGTCTGGTCAGTACCTGAATACCTACTATGTGCTGTATAATCATCCCTGAACTCAACATGGGGAATCTGGGAAGGCTTCACAGAGGAGGTGACATTTATACCTGGGCACTGGCAGTGTGAGAGCCATTGTGTCCATCTGCCAGTTGTGGTTCTACTATGTTGTTGTTGTTATGTGCCGTCGAGTCGGCCCCGACTCATAGCGACCCCTCCTGGGGTTTCTGAGGCAGTATCACTACGGAAGTAGGATTGCCCAACCTTCCTTCCGAGGAGTGGCTGGTGGGTTTGAACCACCAGCCTTCTGGTTAGCAGTCAAGCGCCTTAGGCACTATGCTACCAGAGCTCCTTGGTTCTGCTATATAGGACTTGAATTTTGTCTCTGGAGAGCAGAGGCACACTTTTTTTTCTTTTATCCTTAACCTGCCTTTTCCCTTTCTAACTTCTGCCTCTCTCTAACCCAGTTCCTAGTACTTGTGAAAAACTCATCCTGGGGAAGGAAGCAAGGCCCCTTAATGTTTCTTTCTCATTCCGCCTATTTCCCCACAGGCAAAGATGCCTTTCGATGCCAACAAACTGTATTGCAGTGAAGTGCTGGCCATCCTGCTCCAGGACAACGATGGTGAGGCTCCCCCTCATTGTTGGTATTCTGTTAGGATGGGAGCCAGGCTTGTTTCAGATCCTGACAGCAAGCTCTCTCGCCTTTGGCATCCCCTGGCTCTCCCTCGTGCTCTCTGTGCTGCTTTTGTACTCTGTCAAGCTGTATTGATTTTGTTTGCTGATGTATCAGTGTTAGACGGCTGTAAAATCTGACAGTTAGCTTCATTTTTTTCTTCCTCTATTTTTTTCCCATTTTAGAAAACAGGGAATTGCTCGGGGAGCTGGATGGAATCGATGTGCTTCTTCAGCAGTTATCCGTGAGTAATTCTTACGCTTCCTGTCTGCCATGAAGATACGGGGCCTGGTTTAAATGGGAGGTGGAGCTGGAAATTGTGGGAAGGAGTAAGCCACATGATGCAGGCAATGTGGAGGTGTGTGGGCAGGTTTGAGGTTACAGTGGAGGTGCATGGTTTGTCTCCTTTTCTTCATCACTTGCTTTCTATGGCCAGATGTCACTGTGTATATCTAGCATGGACCTCCTCAGGCTTCTGATGGGGTATTTGTCAATCTAAAAGAGATATACTTTCTACCTAAATGTGTATTCTTGGGCTAAAAACAGCAGATATTTTCAGAGTTGACCCACTCCCGAGATAACTCACCTTCCTTCCTTTCAGAGTACCACTAAAATGGATATTCATTTAGGACACAGATTAGCTCAAGGATTGCAAGTTCCAAAGCAGTGGGATAGAAGTCACAGAGGAGAGGCCAGGATGTGGTAGTGGAGCTGGTATGGAAACTGGAAATTGCTCACTGTAAGAAATGTAAATCCAGTTGAAATGTTGTTCTGCTGGCATTCTGAAAATACTGTGCAGATTTCTTCTAACAAATCTCATCTGTGCTGCTCCAAAAACAAGACTGAAAATAGATGCTTTGGATAAAAACTTGAGAGTGTTGGGAGTGTCTGAGATCTCAGTTTGCATACAGCTTCTGTCTTGGTGCCAGCAGCCCAAGTGTTTGGCTTCTACCCCTAAAATAAGAGTTTTTAAATGTGAATCTGTTTCCAGTTCTGGGAAGGTGCTTAGTCCTGTTCCTGCCAGATTATTGATCATTTTGTAGTAGATTGTAGGATCTGCATATATTGTTAAAAGGTTTTCCCCTTAATGTGCTGTACATCTTTGGCAATGACAAAGTTTCTGCTTTAAACCCTTCCCATGATTTAGAGCCCAGTGCTTTGTGAGACAGTTTATTGCCCTGGTTGTAAGGGAACTCTTCCTTGCATTGAGCCAAGACTTGCTCCTCTGGATTGTGTCTGCTTTTAGAAGGGGAGGACAGGGGAGTGGCTGGATCGGGCAAGTGGAGGGCTTGGGAGATGACTGTTTCTTCACCAGGATAGTGGTTTCAGGGATGTTTTCTTTGCTCAAGTACTTATGTATGTCTTTTGTGGAGTTTCTGTAGCAGTGTTATATTTTGCAGTAAATGGATGTTTTTGTTTGTTTGTTTTAATCTGTCTCCCTGGAACTATGAATTACTCATGGACCCAATGGTCAGTTGATTGTTTTGGTCTTTTGCATAAACTGACATCCATTTATTTAATTACCTATGAGTCAGAATGACCAATTTCTCTGAAGTGGAACCTGATGAGAATTTTGTTTGGTGAGCTTTGTTTTCTTAGTTGTTGGGGTTATGATGACAGGTAGGCTTTGGAAATTGTTGGATAATCATTGATGAAAAGACATTCTCTTCTGATTCTGCTTTCTACTGTCTTTGATTAACAGGTGTTTAAAAGACACAATCCCAGCACAGCTGAGGAGCAGGAGATGATGGAGAATCTGTTTGACTCACTTTGTTCCTGCCTGATGCTCAGTTCCAATCGTGAGCGCTTCCTGAAGGGTGAGGGGCTTCAGCTGATGAATCTCATGCTCAGGTATGTTTCCAGACTCCCTGCTCTCCCATCCGTTTTGCCTTAATCCTCACTGCTAGTCTGGATTCAAGAACATACACCCATGGCCTTTTATTCTGTTGAGTTTCCTATATATGCAGAACAATATAACCTTCAGTGTGTGCGTTTTCATGTGTGTGTATATATGTTATCTTTTTTAAATAAGGTTGTTTTGCTGTTATTGGGTACTGGAGAACCAATTCTGACTCTTGGCAACCATATATGACAGAGTGGAACTTGCCCAGAGTAGGATTTCCCAGACTAATCTTTATGGGAGTAGATCACCAGGTCTTTTCTCTCACAGAGCAGTCATGGGTTTGAACCACCAACTTTTGGTTTGCAGCCAAGTGCTTAACCATTGCACCACTGTGGCTCCTTACCTAAAGTCGTAGTGGGCAAATAAAAAGTATGTTTTGGTCATACTCTATTGTTGTGTCAACCAGTAATACAAATGCCCCACTGAAGGAAAATGTTGTCTTACTGCTTTTTCCCTTAGTGCATTGCTTTTTTTTTTTTTTAATTTCTTAACTTAGTCCACATTTCCTTTTTATCACACACAGACTATCTTATCCTATATATTTATTTATATTTTGTCATGTTGTTGTTGTTGTTGTCGTTATGTGCCGTCAAGTCAGCCCTGACTCATAGCGAACCCTCCTTGGGTTTCCAAGGCAGTATCACTATGGAAGTAGGATTGCCCAACCTTCCTTCCGAGGAGTGGCTGGTGGGTTTGAACCGCCAGCCATCTGGTTAGCAGGCAAGTGTCTTAGCCACTATGCTACCGGAGCTCCCTTATTTTGTCATAGACAGCAGAATATTGCTGATTTTTTTCCCACTTACTTATTAAGTAATGAATGGCATGCGTGCTGTGTGCCTACCATAGGTGACGTGAACTCTGCAAAACATACAGAACTTTTCTTGATAGTACTTTCTTTGTTTATTTAATAATTTACACTCTAATTCCTTAAAGTATTTAAAGTGAATATGTTAGTATATTTCACAGAATCTTAAAGCTGGAAGCAAAAGGGAGGTAGTTTGTCCCCCCAACTTTTTTGAGAAACATGGCTGGGAATGAGAGTAGAGAAAAGGGCAAGGAATAATCAGAGTGTGATGTAGGGGATCACAAGACAGTATTTCAAATTGAGAGGCACTGGCATATGTTTGCATGGTTGGAAGGCTTATCATTATGGAATTATTCTTTATGAAACTGAGCCAGAGTTCACTTTCTTGAAACTTACCATGCGCTGAAACTTCTGTTAGACTGAACTATTTATTTGAAAACTTTAAAAATAAATTTGATATATATCCATTAAATATAATTTAGAATATAGACACACAGAATTGCTGTTAAAACTTTGGTAAGGTACTATGTTAAGTGCTAGGCTGGCTTAGAATTGAACAAGACAGGATTCTATTTCAAGAAGCTAAAAAGCTTCAAGAAACTAAAGCTGCTGCTCAAACACAACCCTGCTTTGGGTGGTAAGTCTTGGTTTCTATAATTGTTTTCTTTGTTTCTAATAACTTTTTTTAGGCCTACCACACATGTAATTTTCTATGATATTTCTTTTTAAAGGTAACTTTTCTGTAAGTGTATGAATGAATAAAGGTTTCCCATGCTGTGACATAATCTTCAAGAGAGTTTCTAATAACTGTGTAATGGGCTTTAAGGGAATATACTTAGTTAATTTAATCTTCTTCTGTTGTTTATATTGAGGTTATTTTCAATGTTTTGCTCTTATGACAAATTCTATAATAACCATTATTGTCTTTAAAACTACTTTTGTATTTAAGATTATTGAGGTATGTATTTTGAAAAAATCTTCTCTTTAAAGACTTGCACGGGGCTGGCATTGCAGTGTATGTTTTCATTTATCCGGTGCATACCAAACCTTAGATTGATTGAAAGTCTTCCTTTGAGGAATTGCTTTTACAAGAAGATTTTTTAAATTGCAGAGAAGAGAAAGAGAAGTTACTCAAAGGCTTTATGTTTAGCTGATTTTTGCTAGCTTCACTCTCTTGGGTCTTTTGTTTGTTTATCTCCTTTACCCTTTTAATTGCCTGTCCTTTTGTTGAAATGACCCACCTTCTCTCAAGCAAATAGCATATAAAGGAAATGCATTTGACTTCTTGGGCCTCCTAACCTTAAAACTATACTCTGCAGGGACTTTCCCCTAAGCTTCTTAAAGGTCTGAACTGCCAGTGTCTTTGGATGGTTGAGTGCAAATATGAAGTGATGTATTCCATAGCATATGGCTTGGTAATGTGCCCCAGTGGGGAGCTGAATAAATAACCAGAAATAGGGATTATTGGAACAGGAATGCTAAGGTTCTGGGAGGCTAATTAGAGAGGAGCTCCAAAGACTTAGACACTGTTCCTCTCTAGTATTACCAAACTTTTCAGTTTTGAATGCAGAAGTCGCTGTTGGATTAATTCTTTTGCATTAATTAGCCATATGAGAAGACTCAGCATTTCCTTTTTTGTCTTTCCCATGTTCTTTGTTCTGTGTTACTTTTCTTCTTCAGACTCCCGAATGGAAACTTTAATTGGAAAGAATGTTTGATTTTTTTTCCCCCTTTCTTGATTCACCCTTCCTGTCCTGGCAAGAGCTGCCAAGTGGCTCTCTGTCTAGAGAGAGCACATTCAGGAGTAGGGAATGATAGCACTAAAGGTTTTGGGAAAATGTCTGTGGTCCTTTCCATTTCCCCTTGATATAAATACATCTTTCACTTTGATTCAGTCATGCATCAAAAACAGTTATAAAATTCCCTCTAGGAGAGGTGGCTTTGTAACATAGGGTGAAAGGGGAGGCTTCGAGGTTGGGGTGACTATGGATTTGGAATGGAGCTCTTGTACTTACCAGCTCTTTTATTTTGGCTGAACTACTGTAACCTTTCTGACCTCTGACTCTCAGTTTCTTCATCTGAAAAATGGGGATGGTAGTGCCAGATTTACAGGGATGTTATGGGAATTCGAGAGACTATATGTTTTGTGTTTTTTTTTGTTTTATATAAAGTATCTGGGACAGTTCCTGGTATATCGTAAACATGCTGCTGTTGAAACACTAGTCCTGTATTATACGGAGACAAATAAGACAGAATTCCAGCCTTTGAGAGGCTCAACGGCTAGTGAGAGAGACAGACATTAAATGGCTGTAATAGTTCGGGGTTTTTATTATTATTATTTAATGTAGCAACTGTTAAAATTGAAGTACCTACTGAGATCAGAGAACACAGGTGAGGAACAGTTAATTTTGTGAGCTCAGGTAGCATAGTGCCTAAGGCACTTGACTGCTAACCAGAAGGCTGGTAGTTCAAACCCACCAGCCACTCCTCGGAAGGAAGATGGGCAATCTATTTCCGTAGTGATACTGCCTTGGAAACCCAAGGAGGGGTTGCTAAGAGTCGGATCCAACTCCACGGCATATAACAACAACAACAAATGTGCAGTCAATTTTTTCCCCCATTTTTTGATTGTTTTATTAAAAGTTACAAATAAGATAGTCATTTATAAACACACACATACACATTATCACACATACATACATATATATATATGTGCATATGTATGTCTACGTACCCAGTATAGTGTTTTTATCAAATTTATTTAGGCATAGTTTATATGTAATAAATATACCCATTTTAAGTGAACATTTTGAATTTTGACAAGTGTATATAACTTTGTTTCCTACTTAGCAGATAGACTAGCATTGTCCAATAGAAATATAATATGAGCAAGACAGAATTTCAAATTTTGAAGTGGTTTCATTTAAAATAGTTAAAAGAAACAGGTGAAAAAAAGTTTTAATTCAACCTAGTATATAAAAAATGATCATTTCAACATGTAACCCTTATGAAAAGTTATTGGTGAGCCATTTTACATTATTTTTGAATACTAACTCTTCAAAATCCAGTGTATCGTTTTCAGGTACACTCAATTTGTATGGTAAATTTTCATCTACATTTAGATTTCATAAAATTTACAGTTGAAGAAGTAGATTTCACATACCCAGGTATTTTCCAATTTGACTGCTAACCAGAAGGTTGGTAGTTCAAACCCACTACCCATTCCGTGGGAGCAAGACTGGGCAATCTACTTCCATAAAGATTTACCACCTTGAAGACCCAATGGGGATCGCTGAGTCGGAATCGACTCGACAACAGTGGGTTTAGCTTTTGTTTTTTGACGTGAGAATCAATTGTTTTAACTTAAATTTTAAAAATCACTTAAATAAAATAAAATGTAGTCTTTCAGTTGCATAAGCCACATTTCACACATGGCTATTGGCTGCTACTTTGTTGGAACATGCAAATAGATCATTTCTGTCACCTCACAAAGTTCCACTGATCTCTGTGTCTGTCTTTTTGTCAGTACCACACTACCTTTATTATTACCACTTTACATTAAGTCTTGCAGTCGGGTAGTGTGAGTTCTCTAACTTTATTCTTATATTTCAAAATTGTTTTAAGTAGTCTAATTCCTTTGTCTTTCTAGAAATACAAATTTTAGAATCAGCCTGTCGATTTATACAAAAACTCTGTTGAGATTTTGACTGGGATTACATTGAATCTATGATCATTTTGGGGAGAATGAACATCTTCCCAATAATGAATCTTCCAATCTATCAACTTAATATATTTCTCCATTTATTTAGGTCTTTGATTTCTTTCATCAGTGTTCTAACATTTCTTAAGATAACTTAGTATTTTACATTTTTTCTAGGAATTAGTAAATTTTATACAGATTTTCAGTTATGTAAATTATCCTGTATTCTTATAATTCTATCACATATCTTCAATTTGCTCTTTTTTTTCTGTACTTTATGTCCATTTTTTTTTATTCTTAGTGCTATGTATTAATTTTTCTGCTGTTTCCCTCTAACAAGTTTAACTCGTTAGTAGTGATTGTTGAGTTATTGTTTTATTGGGCAGGCATCTCTTCATAGAGACCCAGCTCTTGATTTTATACTTTAGTTTGATATGTTATTT